GGAAGCTCTCCCTCCAGAGCCCATCCTCCCATCAGTGTCGGTCTGGTATTCTGTGTGGGTAGCAGTAGAATATGGTTCACATCTGGTGGCTCGCGCCTGTAATCCCAGTACTTTGGGAGACCGAGGCAGGCAGATCACGAGATCAGGAGATCGAGACCATCCTGGCTAACACGGTGAAACCCCGTCTCTAGTAAAAATACAAAAAGTTAGCCGGGCATGGTGGCAGGTGCCTGTAGTCCCAGCTACTCGGGAGGCTGAGACAGGAGAATGGCGTGATCCTGGGAGGCAGAGCTGGCAGTGAGCTGAGATTGCACCACTGCACTCTTGCGTGGGTGACACAGTGAGACTCCATCTCAAAACAAAAAAGATTCACATCACAGCATAAGACTGAGACATTGGGTGTATCAAGCTTGAAAGAGATCTGCCAGGTAATTGAGTTTCATCTGATACCTGACTTCCTTCTCTACTTGACCTTTGAATAGCCACTCATTTCTCCAGTGTCATAGAGCACATTTCACTGCTGTCAGAGCTGGCTGTTAGGACAGTGGTTAGGGCAGATGGCCTGAAGCCATCCCTGCTGTGATCTTTACCCTCTCGTCCTGATTCTGCCTTCTCGTGCCACCTGACACAAGTCAGACCCTTCTTTCTCAGGACAACCCTTCACAGTCCCCTGACTGTTTTATTCTGGGCTAGGCACTCCCTGTTCCTTCAATTACTGCTTCTAAGATGTGCTTAGTCCCAGGAATACAGTCTTCAAAATGAGTTTCTTTTCCCAAAGACTTTATGGCTGCTTGGCTAGTGGAGGACTAGATTCTTTCATTCCTGTTCCCTGCCAGCCTTTCCTAGGGATAGAATCACTTAGGACCAAGGCAAGAGCAACTCAAAGTCTCAGAAAGACAATCATATTTTGGTTTTGTTTTGTTTTGTTTTGAACACACCTCTAGCCCAGGCCTGGCAGGATGCCTGGCATTCATTTGAACAGAGGGCCTGGTATTAGCAAAGAGTTGCCCATTCTTTGCGTGACTGTGAGATCACACTAAGCAACCTGCCGTGCTGGAGCTCCGTAATTAGGAAGTGTTTGGAAGCAATATAAGCTTTGCTCGGAAGGTCTGTATTTGAGGCCTAGATCTGCTCTTGCCATTACTGAATCTCAGCTTTCTC